TCACAAATGGTAAACGTTTTCCTTTGTCCATCTTAAAAAATAAGTCCTTCAAAGCTGGGACAATTTACAGACTAGAAAGATGTAATGTGTCACATGACAGTACAAATACTGTGTAGGTGATTCAAGACCCCTCTTGACCTGAGATTTTGTGTAATGAATGACTAATTGTACATTTTCTTTGCATAGTGCATAGACAGTAGCTAAGAAATCGCAATTGTACTGCTAACAATGATTTGAAATATATGCTGTGGGCATGAACTCACCAGACAAGAGCTGGATGATGGCTGTGAAGACAAATCTCTCGCCCTGCTTCAGACGGAAGAGCTGAAGGATGAAGACAAAGAAACCCACACAGCACAAGATAGTAGCCAGTATCATGGTGGCCTGAACAGTCTGAAGATAGGCTAATAAAGAGGAAGAGAACATGACACAAGGTTTATTTGTGAAAATGTTGTGCAGAAATGGCCTTTGTCCATCTTAAAAAATAAGTCCTTCAAAGCTGGGACAATTTACAGACTAGAAAGATGTAATGTGTCACATGACAGTACAAATACTGTGTAGGTGATTCAAGACCCCTCTTGACCTGAGATTTTGTGTAATGAATGGCTAATTGTACATTTTCTTTGTATAGTGCATAGACAGTAGCTAAGAAATCGCAATTGTACTGCTAACAATGATTTGAAATATATGCTGTGGGCATGAACTCACCAGACAAGAGCTGGATGATGGCTGTGAAGACAAATCTCTCGCCCCCAAATCCAGCCTTGGCCTTTAGCCTGTTATATTCATTTACATTGCAAACAAGAGGCAATAAGTGTTGCCTTCTGACTAGGTTTAATCAATAAACAACTTTAAACAATACCATTAACACAAGCATTCATACTGTACAACATTTTGCTCAGACCAAAGTAAATAGTGGTTATATTTGATTTAGATTTTATGATAATCAAGGCTTACCTGCATCAGAGGTTGCACTGTTTGGTATATCATAACAGTTTGTGGAGTTGCAGTGATACCAGAGATCTAAGGTGTAATCCTCCCAAACCCACCATACCTTGAAAAGATGGAGAATATATTTTGACAGAATATAAACTCAGAGAAAAAAAAAGAAATGTCCCTTTTCAGGATACTGTATTTTAAAGATCATTTTGCAAAATCCAAATAAGCTTTGCCGGTTTCTATTAGAAAGTGTTTAAACAATGTTTTTCATGCTTGTACAATGAACCATAAACAATTATTGCACATGCACAGTGCAACAGGGAGACAGGAAGGACAGCTGACCATCCTTGCCTTGACAGTTTATATATATATATATATATATATATATATAGGCATAATAACAGCTCTGAGTTTTGTGCCCAGTGACCCATTTTTGTGTTGTTTTTAAGCCATGGCTGGATAATTTCATGTTCATAATCCCCCTGGTATGCTCAAAATTGTAAATATGAATGGGAATATACTTCACAGATATTTTACTCTTTCACAGCCTTCTTTGATCATATTTACCAAGGGTGCCAATAATTCTGACCACGACTGTATATATATATATATATATATGTATAAAGTGAATTTCTTAAATAAAACGAATACAATTGTTATAGCTGTACATTTTACAGCCCTGCTATATAACACAGAGCAGTAACAGTGATCGAAGCAGACTAATTAAAAAAAGACTAAAGAAGATCAACTTACATTTCTGATGGTTGCTATGAAGAGTAGTATTGCTGAGGTGATGTGGAAGAGGATGATCAAGGCCAAAATAATCAACATGGCTGATGGTGGAACTGAAAATCAGAATCTGGGGGGAAAAAAGAAGATACAAAAATATAATAATCCTGTTAAATGAATGCAAAGCTGAGACTGAGAACTGGAACTGTTGGTTAACATTAGTTAAGTACATTACATGAATTAACAATGACAAATACATCTAAAGCATGTTAAAATCTTGAATCTTACAATCATGTTACAATCTTAAATTTGAAATTATTACCAATACATTATTAAAATCAAACGTTGTATCTGTTAATATTATGTAATGGACCCGAGTTAACATGAATTAACAATGAACAAATGTATTTTGTAGTAATGTTAACAAAGATTAATAAATACTTATGCATTGCTCATTTTAAATAATGTGATCGTATAGTGTTACCAATTAATTATATTATTAGTTACCTATTTCTGTTTTGCACACTTGCTAGACCTTGCACCAATAATGCAAATTGAAAACAAATAGAATAAATGTCATACATATTTAAACACGCAAAAACAATACATAGCCAAACAATTTCATATTATTTAATAAAATGTTTTTAGCGTCGAGTTTAAGAAGCTACATTCATTTTGTCAGATTTTATCAATCATTCAAGTACAAAGGAGCCAAATCTAAATCCTCATGCAGGTTTTGCTGAAAAACACAGCCAGCTTCTGCTTACGTCACACACGTGAGCCTCAGAGTCGGCTGCTAATTTAGCTTCCCATGATTCACTGCACTACAGCCACATACAGACAGCCTATACATCTCAGCCTATACACCGAGCCATTTATGAATGGCTTTTTCCCCCTTCACCTTGTATAGTGCTTGTGAGTTTATACTGGAGGTGAGAAACTCATTTTTTGCACTGAAGTGCTTTAATGTTCAGTACTTGAGGATACAATCAATTAAAAAAAAAGACACCCCAAAGGACGATATCACATCAGCACTATGTCTGTGAAATATATGTCCTGATCGCCTTCGCAAAAAACATATGTGGTGAACAAGATTTTAGCAGTTTACTAGGATACAAAATCCTTTACAGTTACATGATTTAGTTTGAGACACTTAGCAGTGTTAACTAGACATACACAAGCAGAACTGTAAACTCTGACATACAAGTAATAAGACTAATAAGATAATATCTAATAAGTCTAGTTTACAAAAGGCTTATTGCAGAAGGAACAGACGTATGACTAAAGGATTTAAAAGATGTAGTGTTCAGAAAATATAAAAATCTCTGGGTCTTTTCTTGGTAATAAAAAAGGATACAGAAGGAGGTAAATGAACATAGTGAAAGAAAACAATGATATAATCAGCAGTTGAGTATCAAAGACAATGTTTTCCTCCTTTAAAGCATACACATCTTCCTCATTTCCTTGTTATACAGCTTATACACAACCAGATCATCAATAACTACCTTTTAATTAAGTTGATAAAATAATTCATCTTAATTATGAAGCTGTTTTGCTCCAGGTGTATGAATCTGACCTGAGGTGGTGCTATTGAGCCAAGATGTGAAAACTCTCCACAATTATCATGAATATAAATATGTGTATATATATATATATATAATATTTACACAATATCGTATGATAAAAGCAAATAGCGACCATGAATGTCACATTTTCAAGGAAAGAGCATCTTAAATTTCAATCTGTTCTTTACATAGCAATTGTATGGCCTCACAAGCACAGGTCATACAGACTACTTTTGATATGCTTTATGATGTTTGACATCCCCATTTACAACTCAGTTTCACAGTGTAGAAAAGAACCTGGACATCCTGCTTAACTTCTCCTTTGGTGTTGAAGACGGAAAGTCAATACAGGTTTGGAACAAAAAGTGGAAACGTATATAATGGCTTTCATTCGTGGGTAAACTGTCTCTTTAAGAAGCGATGTGGGAGACAGGGTGTGGCATTTCAGCAATGCAGAGTTTAGGCGGGAAAATGGTTAAAGAATGGAGGGTTTCTGTTTAAGCTCAGCTTAGAGAAAGCAAAGAAACATTCCCAATTACAGCACACAAGCAAGCCAGAAAGATTCAGCCAACATGGTCATAATTAATGAGGCGTGAATCGGCTCACAGGATGCCAGCCTCAGTACACAAGGGAGACACAATGTGGGAGGGTACAGGTCAGGATGACGCTCATCTAGTACAAGTTTCTCAGAGCAGTCTACAAACACAGGCCTGAAAACCCTTTCTTTTTTAACTTTCACAATTTCTTCTAAGGTCAGGGAAGGTACTGGGAACAAAATTAAGCTTAGGCATTTATAAAGTCTGAGAATATTGGTCATTTATTCAGAGCCTGTAGTGGAAATCCTCTGGAGACCTTCCCCACGTTAGCTGTCTGTCTCTGTAGAGTGTAATGTAGGAGGCTGGTCTCATTAAATCGTAGTGTATCGTGTACTCGGTCTACACATGGTCTTAATTTTCTCTTCAGCTGCTTTCCTGTGTTGTACTGAGAGGCGTAGAGGGCTGGAAGGGGAGGAGGAACGTGAGACTCAAAACATGCTGTCCAAACATCTGTGATCTGAACTAGGAAATGTGTTGAGCAGATGATTCTGAGATTAAAAAAAAAAAAAAAAAACATTGAATATTTGAATCATGCATTTTTGGAGACTGAAGCTTTCAATCTTGAAAAAGGATGCAAGGAAGGCAAAATAAATCAAGTAGTTATAATGAATCCAGATGACTTAACTTCCTTAACAAAGGTATTAAATTTACTCCTTTTTTCATGTATTTTTCATCTGAGATTGTAGCAATCCGTTTGGATCACTGCATTTCCAAGAGCTGCTGGGAGGCGCCTGTTAATTTGCTGACATCCATAATGGCGCAAATGTGGCATTTAACGCACAGAGAACCCGTGTTTTGTTAATAGCAGCTCTGCGAATGGTGAGAAATTGAGGAAGAAAATTCCCGTTGATGGTTAAGAAGTGAGGAAAATGAAACCCTTTGACTAGACAGAGGCCCACCAAACACAGAATACATGAGGAAGAACATACTGAAAATTGTATGTTGACTACACAGAGGGATAATCGTCCGTGCACAGTCCCCTCAGGCCTTTTCCGGGACAAAGGATCTACTGTAGAGGTTCACCGAGGCCAACGGCAAGCGTGGAATCAGCTTCACGGGTGAACCACTTCAGCCTTCACAGGAACTGTGTACCTGTAATCATCAAAAGAGGCGATACCACGATCACACGGGTCTTAAAGGAATACTCCAGGTTCAGTACAATTTAAGCTCTATAGGCAGCATGTTGATTATCATGAATTTTGTGTAACATTGAGGCATTTAATGTATGTGAATAGGGCCAATCCATACACTTTAAAATGTTAATGTTACGTTGCATGTTAAAACTAGTCAACACACATAATTTGCTTACAAATCTTATGTTATTCATATTTAAGTTTACATTCAAAAACTCCTCACTATGACAACATAAAGCCTAAAACTTTAAAGGTAACTTAAAAATTGCAACGTAAACAGCTTTACAGCTCAAATAATGTTCAAGTTTTAACAGAACAATTAATGTAAGTTCTTTTATAAAATAAGCTTCACATTTCTGCTTTTCATTCCTTCAGAATTGCCCCAGGGTTACTATTGTTAACAAAAACTAAATCTAAAACTATTAAAACATTTGTTTTAATCGAAATAAAAATTTAATTAAATGTAATGTGCTAATGACCAAAGCTACTATAATTTACACTGAACTAACATTAAAATGAAAATATTAAAATAAAAGCTAATTATAATATTAATAAAAACTACTATAGTAAATAAATAATACTAATAACACGGCTGAACTTGAATTGAATCTGGTATTTTCCTTTAATTTGAACTGGATTATGTGTATATAAATAAGTGAGGGCAGAAAGAACTGCAACAACTGTGATTACATAAGTACAATCTAGACACCTTTTGTGGCTTTTATAAATAAATATGTCAGTTCCGTACATTAAATCAATCAGTCAGGCTGAAGTCAAATCACAGACTGTACCACAGCTGCACAAGACAAAGAGAAAAAAAAATCCAGCATTAGCTCAGCCTCATAATAGAGTTGGGGGGGTGGGGGCTGAGGCCCTGTTAAAGTTTATATAGGCTGAGACATGAAAACCTATGAGCGTTTGTCTTGGAAACTGGCTGTGGAGTTTCAGTTCGCTATGTACAATCCTGCGGGATGATAATGACAGCCATACCTCCCAAGCCTAGAGGTTTCCAGAGAATTTACAAACCATCATTAGTAAATTAATTGGAGTCTGTGCTTTAAAAGGTAGCAGATAAGCCATGTCGACTTATTTCTGCATTGGGAAATGTCTGCATATGTATGTGTATAAACACTAAGGAGTCCCTGCTCATTTCCCCTAAACTTGGTGGAAAATGCTGACTTGAGTTTCACTTTTAATGTCATTTTTTTCGTAAAAGCCGCAGTCTCCAGCAGGCTTCCAAGTCGGCCACTGCTGAAAACAGAAACTGCTGTCATGGACCAAATGATTGAGACGAGAAGGAAAGCTTCAATGCCACCCAGCAAAGTTTAGCAGCTTTAATCCAGGGCATGTGTTCTGTACATCATTTATGACCAGGGCTGGATATCGGAACTGATTAACACAGATTTGTTTACATTCTGATTCAGTTAAATGATGATTCATTTAGGAATGCTTTGTCAATGTATGTGCTTCAATTATTAAATAATTGCTGTAAAGGGACATTTTACCCAAAAAATAGAAAATTCTATCACATTTTACTCACCCTAATGTAGTTTCAACCCTATTCCAAGAATATTTCCGGAAAAAAAAAAAGATCATTAACTAGAAAAAAAGTCACTTCTCAATATCTCTTAGTCATACAGGTTTGAAACTACATGAGGGTGAGCAAATTATGACAGATTTATCATTTTTGGGTGAACTATTGCACTTTATTGTGCAAAATCGATTCACTTTTTTTTCCAAATGGGCATATTTTGCTGTCTTTATGGGGCAGAAACTTTTAAGCCAATTACCTGAGCTGTAAATGCCATGTGACAAATCACTCTTAAGGAAAGTAACGTGAATGCTGATTGGCTGCTAAACAGTGGTGGTCCATTTAAGGAGGCTGATATATAAATCATTATTGACTATCGTAACGAAGTGAAAGATTACAGCAGATTACAGATTTAATTTTTTTAATTTTTTATTTATATTTACTTGCTTATAATTACTCTCTTTTTAAACATATTTGAATAATGCATTATGAAAGAAAAATACATGTATAAAAACAAATAAGAAAACCGAAAATTAACATTTTTGAAACGTTTATATTGAACACATTTGTGTTTTAATATATTAATAAAAGTAATATATATGTGTGTGTGTGTGTTTACATTATAAGAGTTAAGCACACAGATAAAAACAAATGTTACTTTTATAACTGTTGCTGATTTATTTTGATACATTTTGTGGCAATTTAGTGCCCCGAGTCCTCTGATGAACTGCCACTGACCACAAAAACACAATCACAAAGCGCTTCACTATAGTGACTCTCCTGAGTTGTGACGTCAAAGGCAGCAGATACTTCACAGACAACCCAACAATTACTCCCGTTTCATTGTGCGTCATTGTTTCTTCTACAGCATTTAAACAGAAGCAGCATGAACTCACGGAATGTTCCTCAGTAACATGACGCAGTCAGATATCCATAACTCTGCTCAGGAAACAGATCATTGGCAGAATCCAAAGGATAAAGTGTTTTATGAATTATGTCTGGTGCAAATATTTTGCTCATGAGCTCCAGATAATCCAACAGTTAAATAAACCAATAAATGATGACAAAAACATGCAAATGGGAACTGCAGAACACATTACCGCCCAGTTTGACCTAACCTGACCCTAAGTACCAATGCTGAGAAGTAAACGAGGGATACGAGGGGGAATGTTTTAGTGTGCATGTTTGACATGGCCTGCGGTTTCAAATGTCGGACAAAAAGTACCAAACTGTTCATGGGTTGTTTCGGAGTCCCGAGACCAACTCACACTCTGAAATATCAGAGAATGCAGATAAAAGGGAAGAAAAACGTGCAAAGGATCAGAAATGGGAAGAAATGATGATGCACAGAGTTTAGTGTGGAGTCAACCCATGCACACCTTTTATTGTAGACATCTTTCACTGCCAGGATAAAAAGAAAGAGGCTAAAAAGAACCCTTCTCTGAAACAGTTGTGAAGCCGTGAAGGTTAACAGCCATGGATAAACAACATCTTCATCTCTCAGCAAGTGCTAGGCTTTCTTATAGCTATAAACAATGATCTAATTAAGATCAATGCATTCTCACAGACTCATTTCCACTGAAGCACTCATGTTTATCCTATCAGGGATAGGCGTTTGTTCTAAAATACAGTCATAAATTAAATGCAGCCCTGTTCTTGCTCAATAAAGTTCAAATTAAGCACGAGCAGCTGAAATGTGCCTGCTGGCTCCCATCTAACTGATTACCTAACAGGCCTCTTGTAACGTTCGATGGCTGCAGTTCACAAAAAGACATCACGATAAGCATCACACATCCTGCCATACAGCATATTTGTCAGGGGCATCTTGGGTAATCTGTAGCTAAGATCTGTAATCTGGTTTATGTTTGCAATTCACTACAAGAATGATTTAAAGTCAAGTAAACACGTCAAGACCTCTGTCACACATCTTTGGCACGTCTGCGGTGCTTCCTTTATGTGATCAGAATACTGGTCACCCTTTGTTTTGCCCACAATTCTCCATTTTTTTCAAGAATAATTCTATATCACACACTTTACTATACAATGTTAAATCTTAGGTGTGTTAAATAGTTCACCGAAAAAGGAAAATTCTGTCACCATTTACTCACCCTCATGCTGTTCAAACCTTTTCTGTGGAACACAAAAAATATATATTCTGAAGAATGTGTGGGTCCAAACAACAATAATATAATATAATATAATATAATATAATATAATATAATAGATGTATTAATAATTAATTTAATTCATAATTAAAAATACATAATTTTAAATAGTATAAAGGAGGGAAGGAAGGAAGGAAGAACGAAAGAAAGAAAGAAAGAAAGAAAGGAAGGAAGGAAGGAAGGAAGGAAGGAAGAAAGAAAAAGAAAGAAAGAAAGAAAGAAAGAAAGAAAGAAAGGGGGGACTTGGTTCTATCTATCAGTTGTTGATTGAATACAGGCAGATCTGAATGAGAGCTTGCAGTCAATTTTACGAAAGGGATGAAGTTTATACAGACTAAATGTTTGGAGAAGCATACATCATCAGAGAGAAGTCTGTCATTTCACTGGAAGATATGCCTGAATCAAACTCACTTACACCAAACTACACTTACACCAGTGAGTCATTTTTGAGTCAGTTCAAATAGAAATAGCTCTTCAAATTAACAACTGCACCATACAGCTACAGCGTCCCAGGAAATGAAATTATACAATTCTGAACACACGCTGACAATCAGATCTGTTACTGACGTCTCTGTTTATATTTTCCTCACTGTTCAGCCCTTGCAGTACCACTGGTGCTTGTGAACTAGAATGGGAACACACAAGGCTTATTTTTGGAGAAAACACAAAAGCCAGAATTGCTGCCTTTGGCAAGTTGCCTGAAATGAAGTTTAATGTACAGGACAAACAAAGCTTGCTTTTGGGTATCATCTATAAGCCCCACCCAGTAAAGTACTCTTGGACGCAAAAAAGGAAAGCAAAAAGCAAACAAACTCCCAGCGAGAATGACGTGTACAGTGTGAGCGCTACTTGTACGAAGCCTTAAGGTCTCTATTACACAACCCTGAGGTTCTCCACAGATATATCAACACCATACTGGGCAGTTTTGGCACAAGGGACTCCTCATTTTGTAAAAGGAGTGTATTTTGGCAAGGCACATGTGTTCCTGCTGCAACTGATCTCAGGAGGAGCCTCATTCACACACAGTAGGGTCCCGCTCGGCTCTCGGTGTGGCCTGCTGGGTTGAAAGTGTGCAGTGGGTTCTGATAGGCTTTCATCTCATTGCTATGACTCTACCGCAGAGCAACCGTGCTCAGGTGCCACAAGCACTGTTTTCAAATCGCATTCCACTGATGACATGCCGCCAGCATGAGTAATGACTCCCACATGGATCTGTCAAAAGACACGCTGCTGAACCCCCGCAGCCACATCCAGACAACCCCTCTCGCTGAGAATCAGGACGGCTGTGTTTAATGCATTCCCACACTGTCCAATCAAACTCACTTACACCAAACTACACTTACACCAGTGAGTCATTTTTGAGTCAGTTCAAATAGAACTGACCACAAGCACTGTTTTCAAATCGCATTCCACTGATGACATGCCGCCAGCATGAGTAATGACTCCCACATGGATCTGTCAAAAGACACGCTGCTGAACCCCCGCAGCCACATCCAGACAACCCCTCTCGCTGAGAATCAGGACGGCTGTGTTTAATGCATTCACACATAGTCCGGATTCTCAGTAGCTCCTTTGATCTTTCAGCAGGGATGAAGAGAGAACTACTGTTACTCCCAAGGAGTTTTTTGTTGTGTCCAGTGCACTTAGCAGCAAGTTTTAAATCTTAAGTGTGCTAAAGCCACAGACAAGGGAAGAATTTTGAGGCTCTCAAACAGTAAAATCAGACTGACTAAGGTCATAAACAGTACCGGTCAAAACTCTGGGGTTTTGGGTCTGTTTTGTGTCTTCTTCTTCTTTTTTTTTTTCTGAAAGAAACTGCATTTATTTGATTAAAAATACAGTAAAAAAACAGTAATATGTAAAAACATTAAAAATGTCTTTAGTGTCACTTTTGATCAATTTAATGCACTGTTGCCAAATGAAAGTTTTAATTTCTTTCAAAAAAGGAAAGCCTCTGTTATTGTGGGAGACTCTTCTCATCCCATGTATAGTCCTTTCCAGTTACTTCCCTCTGGCAGATGGTATAAAGTGCCTTTAGTGAAAAGGGCCAAGTATAAGAAGACCTTTATCCCAACTGTGATTAGCATTTTAAATATGATTTTTTTTTAATGTATTATTATAGTTTATGTATGTAATGTAAAGTGTTTGTGATGATTATTTGTATTGGTTGTGTGTTGAGCCTTTTGTCTAAAGACAATTTTCTACCCCATTTGGGATAGACAATAAAGCTTTTGAAAATTGAAAATTGAAAATTGAAATTGAAAAAATCTGGAAAAAAAAAACATTTAAGGGTTTAAAAATATTTTTAAGAAACATTACAGCATTCATGAATAAGACATCTTTTAGACTATTCACTATTTCTAGGTCGTTGTTTTCACTATTACTCCCTCCTGATTTTTTTCTTTTTCATATCTTATCATAGTTATATATATTTTTTTTTTTTATAATAATTTGCACTATACTTTTCAATACTTTAATTCATAAAGTAAGACTGTAAGCTTTAGTATAAATTATCAATAATCAACATTAACATGAAAATTATCGCTTTAGTCAAGCAACCTCCCGCTGATTCTCCAAATGACTATAAAATGCAGTTTATGTTTGAAAATTGACCATTAAAACATCACCTTAAGGCATGACAATACAGACACACATTCACATGAGCACATCCCCCTCTTGCCTCTAAGTGTATGTCTGTCAAGGAGACCCTGTCGTTTTCTTCCTCTCTTATATTAGTATGGAATGTGACTGTTTATTGCTAAACATGGTGCTGTTGTTGTGTTTGAAGCTGGTGTGGGTTTCTGGTAAGACTGGTAGCTTAAGTAAGAGTGTTTTTCATCAGCTAATGGGACTTCAGCAATGTCACCCCTGTGCACACTTGGTTACCAAAATCCACAGCAACATGTGCAATTCATTGTCTCAATCCGAAAAACATGCAAAGACTCAAAGATTCAGACTGGTTTTACGATTCACACATTTTCCAAGCCACTGTGTCTGTGACACAACAGTGACCCTGGATTCCACCTATCAGCGGAGATGAATGAGTTTCAGTGTTATTCTTTCTGTAATTGGTGAAAACAAATAAAGATTACCAAGCCTCATGTCAATGGAAACATCTTTAGTGGACTGCTTCATTTTTCTCTCTTATTGCACAGCATTATGTTGCTGAGAACACTCCAATAATCTTCTGAATGCTCACATTAGTAGTTCACGGCAAGATTAAAGTATCTGAAATTCTTTGTCAATAATAGAGTTTGGAAACAGCTCCCTGTCCCTTACCGTCACCCTGCAACTAAAGTTCAGAATCCATTGGTGTAAGTTTCTTTTGAACATGAACTGACGAGTTAAAGAGGAGTAGCACCACATTTTCAGATTCATGTTCTTTAAAGGTATGCGTGTTTGCATGTGGACTGTGTACAACGCATCTTACCCACATAACAAATGAGTTTGCAGTCTCTATTGAATGTGATGCAATAAAAAGACTATTTATGCACAGAAAAACAAACATTCAGCTTGACCAATCTAGTCTGATTATGAATCAACAAATAACTCTTATGAGACGGTGCTTTTAAGTGAATCAAAACCATACAAAGTGACCAATTCACTTTGTATGGTTTTGAAGTCGTAGCCTAATGGTTAGAGAGTCGGACTCGTAACCTAAAGGTTGCGGGTTCGAGTCTCGTACCGGCAGGGATTGTAGGTGGGGGGAGTGAATGTACAGCGCTCTCTCCCACCTTCAATACCACGACTGAAGTGCTCTTGAGCAAGGCACCGAACCCCCAACTGCTCCCCGGGCGCCGCAGCAAAAAAAATGGCTGCCCACTGCTCCGGGTGTGTGTT